ACCTCGAACCTGGTACCTGGTGGGTACCTGGTGGGTACCTGGGTGTGTTCCTCACTTATCTCTCGCTCATATTTATGTTAATGTGCGTCTGTCTGTGTGTATCTGTGTGCACCGCGAACATCAAAAGCAACGGTGCAACGATTTGGTGCCACACAGCACAAGCACAGCACAGCGCAAAAGCTCTGAAAATATGCTAACGGTTTGGGTTTGAGTTTGGGTTTGGGTTCCAGTTCTGTTGCAGCAATTGAAGTTCACCAAAAAGTATAAAGATTATGGGTCCACATTCCGACTGAGCGGATACCCCGTGGCCAATCGGGGGAGATTTCTTACAAATATAAAGGCGATTAGCCGTTTATAGATATCGATTGTATTTTCCTTACTTAAGCTGATGGATCGATGGATTCTCTGATGGATTGGTAGTTAATATTTGTGTCTCAATAGATATGGTAATCCATGCCAAAAAAAAAAAAAAAAATTTGTGTACAACTGGAATATGCAACAAGTAATGCAAAAAGTTAATTTTCTCTGCCTGGACTGTAGAATAAGAATTTCATAGTCCAGATGTAACCAAAAGATATAAACCATCACGAGGTATATTTTTTGTTCTCTATTTTATAGATCGGAATCACTTCCTTCCTCTCAACCTGTCACACACCTCTCCACAAATACAACATACCCTCGCACTCCACAGATTCCTGAGTATAATATAAACCGTCTGAGACAAGTCCAAAAGGAAAGTGTCTTACTGGAAAATTTATGTTTCCTTTGTGTTCATTTTTTTCCTTCGTATTTTTGCGGTGTATTTCTTAGGGTTTAATTAATACACGTATTCGTACTTGAAAATCACCGAAACATTGAGAGGGAGAGAGAGAGAGAGAGAGAGAGGGGGCTATGTAGGTCATGGGCGTTGTGGGCCAAGGGGCGTGCCCATGCGTTTGGGTCTAAAGTGCAACGCCATTAGCCCCGAAAGAGAAGTGCCAAAAGAGAGGGGGTTTCCCCTCAGCGCATATTCCATTGATCGCGTGGATAGGCGGGCGGAATTCGCATAGCTGATGGGACGCACACTGCTAGCCAATAGATAGGATGGAGCCTCCCATGTAGGCCACATCTCCTAGATCTAGTCTTGGATTTTTCCACCTCTAATATTTCAAAGCCAAATTTCAATTCAATTTCAATTTCTCTTTTCGCTGGAGACCGAGACCGAGACCATCCATCAGGCGTTCGTTCGTTCTGCAGCAGCGGCAAAAGGTTCTCCAATTTCAGATGCCACTAATCACACACAAATCTCGATTGCTGCCACTGCCACGGCCACAAATATTGGCGACTACCACAAGCTGTTGCTGTTACTGTTGCTGCTGCTGTTGCAGACTCTGCAAAGCATGTACTTAAATTTGATATTTTAATAAATTAAAGCGCACTGAAACTAATGCTGCAAGTACACCACAAACACCCGCCAACACGTTGCAGAGTCCGGTAGCATGCCTCTCACTCGGCACAGGGCAGAAGGATAGCGATAGAGAGGGAGAGAGAGAGAGATGCCTGCCATCTGATTGCAATTTGAAATATTCTCAATGGCAGCAAGCGACAAGAACTTCTGTTTTTGGTGTGTTGCAAGTAGGGTTCCATGCAACGCATGATTGCCCCCAAACAGCAGCAGCAGCAACCAGAGGCCGTCGTAATGAGCGCGTCTGCTGCCCACCAGGCGGAATCTCCATCTCCATTCCACTCCAAGAGGCTGAGGCTATTGCTGTTGTTGTTGCTGCTGCTGCTGACTGGCCACAAGATGTGGCAGTGGCAGTGGTCTGCCTGCCAGCCTGCCTGCCTACCTACCGCTACGATCAGCGATAGCTTTCGGCTGCTGCTCGAGAAATGGTTTTGAATTTTCCGTTCCGTTTCGTCTAGTGTTTGATTCTTATTAAAAGATTGGCGCGAAAGCATCTTACGAGTACAAGCGACGCGCAGTTGCAAATTGCAACTGTCGCTGGCCACAAGAGAGGAGTCGGAGGGAAATCGGAGTCGTATCCGAATAAACCCAACCCAAAATCACACTCCCCATTCAAACATCTCCACAGAGACGACGATGATGATGATACACAGGTGGGCGCAGGGAAATACGAGCGACCAGAGGAAGATGCCTTGTTGCCGCTTTTCCTGTTGTTGCCCCCCGCCCCATCTCTTGTTGCATACAATTAGCCTGCAACACAGTTTTCGAGAGCCAGCAAAATGCTCATGTAATTTATTTAAAATCTCTCGCGTTCTCTCTCTCTCTCTCTCCGGTTTTTCTGTGGCAGAGGCATCTGCATTTGAATTGAAATTTCTGGTTTATGAACCATAAACTTAATCAGAGGCAAATAATCAGCGAAAAGCAAACAAGAGTCAAAGCCAAGAGTCAAAGGCAAAGGAGCCAGAGAGACAGAGAGATTGGCGGGGGGCAATGCCAGAGAGTCAGTAAGTGAAGATGTGGCAAGCAAAAGAGCAACTCAAACGAAGGCTTGGCTCTGGCTTTGCCATTGAATAAATCTAGAGGCCAAGAGGCAGAGCAGTGCAGGAGGCCACTTGGCACTTGGCATTGGCCAAAAGTCACACACAAAAAAAAAACAAGATAAAAGCAGAGAAGAGAAAAGAAGCGTAGAAAAATCTCAAAAAAAAAAAAAAGAAAGAAAAAGAAAGCAAAGGCAAGGGTGCCCCCCAAAGTGTTGCCTCAGCTTAAGGCCAATCTGCATTTTTAGTGCTGCAAAAAGAGGATGATCCAAAGCTGCGGCAGAGAGTTGGGCTTGGATTGATTCAAGGTGAAAATGCATCCACTTTTGCAGTGATTTTCCAGAGCTCTTCTTTGGTTTATCAAATTCTAAATTCAAGTGGCACTTAGGTTTCCATTTCGCTCGCTCGCTCTCTCTCTCTCTCTCCCTCCCTCGCTTTACTTTCTCTGCTATTCCATCTGTGGCATCTTTCTCTATCTGTCTGTCTCTGCTGATTCCCTGTATCTGTTCTGTATCCCTGCCAGTGCCTGGCTGCTCCTCCTCTTCGTTTGCTGTTAAACTATTTATTCGTTCTAACAGTTTTGCAAATTGCTTCTCATGTGGGTTGAACTTTTAATAACAAGGCAGGCCAGGCAGCAGGCAGGCAGGAGACAGGCAGGAGGCAAGCAGCAGGCAACTGGCAACAGAACAACAGTCAAAGCCAAGAGAAATCTCAGCAATTTATATGTGTATGTGGCCAACATCCAAGGCGGGGGCCCATTTCATGAATGGATATTCCTTTCGGTGCCTTGTGGCCAAGGCCTAGGCGATGCCCCAAATTGTGTGTTCCGCAAACGAACGAAGGCAAACGCAATGCAATTACTTATCACAGTATGCTGCTGCCAGAGTCTTCCCTCTACACACAGACACACACTCGGTGATGACCATCGAAATTACTTCACAGTTTCGTTCTGCAGAGTCCATTCCAGTGCACTGCTCTTGGTGTCTTGGCTCTTGGTGGTGGACTTGGTGGACGTAGTAGTAGTTGTATGCAAATGTCTAGTGTATGCTGGACACGACTATTACCTGTCACATTGTCAGGTGATTGCGAAATTGTTGCGTTACGCCAGCGCCCAAGTCGAAGCCCTCTGCGCGGGCCTTAAATTTGTGGGAAACATCAACTGAAAGAGCAGCCAGGGCAGCGCTCTATGTGTCCTACACTAAGTGCCCGGGCACCCCATTGATGGCTGGGCTGCTGCTGCTCCTCTGGAAACGTGACTCGAACGTGACGTTTGTGTGCAAACAGGAAGATTCCACCACCAACTGACGGGGCAGACAGACAGACAGACAGTCGTTCGGCAACAGTTGGCGCTCTCTCTTCAAGGTATAGACGGGGGTTGGGGAACCCAACAGAGTCCAGAGACACACAGACAGACAGACGGACAGACAGACAGAGAGTTAATACAGTTCGGCGCGAGTTTAAGTCGAAGTCGGAGCAAGAGTTGACTTGATTGCCGGCGTTGCAAACGACGTTGGTGGTTGGCTTTGATGGTCAAAGGCAACAGCAACAGCAGAAGGTAACCCAAAAGCCGAAGCCAAAAGCCCAACTTAAAACCCAAAAACGGTACTCGCAAAATTACTTAAACTGCTGCCTTGCCGTTGCCTTGACTTTGAATGCGTTGAACTTTTTGTTTGCATAAACTTCAGGCCCCCCAGTTCCCCCCATTGCTAACGAACTCCAACTTCAGTCTCCGACTCGTAGGAAGGCGGTTCCCTTTTCTGCTGCTCTCCTGGTCTGCTTTTTATCAGCACTCACATCATATTTACAATATGGAAATCATTTGCATTGTAATAATTTACAATTTTCGCTGGAGTTTTCTGCTTGTGCGTAGGTTGAAAGAGAGATATACAGAGAGACTGAGGGAGATGGACAGTAGAGAGAAAGAGAGGTAGGGGAGATCAACTGTAGAGAGAGAGAGAGAGACAGAGAGAGAGGTAGGAAGATCAACTGTAGTGAGTGGTAGATCCATGAGGAAGAGGTACAGATCCCAAGCAGAGGTAGATCCATGTCCAACAACAGACTTGTAATTGATGAAAGCCTCAGCGCAATCGCTATTAATGTCATCGATAACATTTCGATTCGTTCTCTTTACTCTTCTCTCTCCGCTTCGCTCCTCAGCAATCTGTTCTTTTCTGTTGAGTTCTGTAGCCCTCTCCTTGTCCGTTAGCTCTGGTGCTTTGCTCGGTTCTTGGTCTAGGGAGGTCTCTGGGCATTGTAATGTTTTGGCAGAAAGACTTACAAGCCTCGTCGTAAACGTCGGACCCAAACACACAAATCAAAACATGTCACAAACAGTTGCTACGCCTTGAAAATTCCTGGAAAGTCAAGAGCAATTGCTATTGCCATTGTAGAGCATTTACTTCCTGGTTTTACCTCTTTCCTCACCGCTCTCTCTTTTCGTGGCTGGGAAAAGCGCGGAAATGGAATGGCAGTGGTTTTCCAATTTATGCGATTCGTCAAAATAAAAAAAAAAACTAATGTTCTGTGGCTAGACAAATTTAATACACTAATCATAGTACTAGTAAGTGTACTAATGCATGTCGAATCAATCGAAATAATACGTTAATTTCTTTTTTATGTATTTATGTATGTATATTTATGATGTATTTACTGAAATTTCTTTGAATTACTAAATCCAAATTTTACCACCAGAATGTTCTTGTATCCAATCCAAAAACGAAGAAACTCTGGTAAATACCGTAGGCAGATTGGTTTTGCAATCAGTGCTAAGACCATGAGAGGTAACGCCCAAAAGTATATAGTCCTCCCCTTCCTGGAGTACCAGGGGTCCTCCAGAATCTCCTCTGCAAGGCGAATTCTCGCTGGGCCCAGTGCAAATGAAGGATGCTGGGAATATTCTAGGCGACACAAGTCTTTTCCACTTTTCTTCGCATTCCTCATTCGATATAATGTTGATCTCAAAATATTTCAATTGACTAGGAAATTGCAAAGTTTTTGTTTCTGAAACTATAATGGAATCAAATATATATATGCTATAAAATCAAAGAATTGAATGAACCTTTATGTGCACCCCATCCTGAAACAATGGCTTTTGCATTCACATAATTATTTGTGGGCTGTGGCGGCTTTGCGGGTCGAATAAACTCATTGAAAGGCACATCGATGGGCAGTTTTATGATTGCAATGTCATTGTAATATGGAACATCTTTTTCAAATTGCTCATGTATCACCACAAACTTTCGATCCACAATCAATGGCTGTTGTCCCTTTTCGTTGGCATTTGATTTGTCCACAGCTCCAAAGAAAATTTTCAAGGCTTTTCTTTTAAAATTAAACCAAAAATTAACTGTATTTACAGGGTATCAATTATGATCTTACATGTTCGGTTCCTGCAAACAGTGGGCTGCTGTCAATACAATTTTACTCGATATTATAGTGCCTCCACACTCGTATTTCCAGACATTGATGGCGTCATAGTTATCGAGTGAAAAAGTTTCATAATACACTTGATAAGGAAACTGTTTGGCGGTGGCATTTCCGCCATTTATAATGCGTTGGATATTACTTCCATTAGATAACTTTAGGAGCAAGCCACAGGCAATGAGAACTAGAACTATTCTGCCTTCCATGTTTGTTTAAAACTGAATCAAGTACTCACTACCCATGGAATATATATAGCACCAGAAATCCCCTAGCAGAAGAGATAACAATTTTCAGCACTCAAATGATTTATGGATTGCAGGAAATGTCTTTTAATTTCTAGATTATTCCGTTATTTGTTGCATTCTTAAATTCTTTAACTTAAAACATTGTTGCAAAATTCTAAAAAATATTATTAGCCATTTCCCTTGTGAGATTTCATTGTTTTCTTTACTCAAATGCGTCATTTCTCTGTTCCATAATCTTTTCTTTTGCAGAACTGTAATCCAATCCGAGAACAAACAACGGACAATCCACCGTAAAAAAGCAATCAACAGATGTGCGTCCTGGATTCCGATTTTCGCGGAGGAGAGAGAAACGCCTTAAATCATTTTAAGCAAACACTTGGAGAGCCCCGCATCCACGCCCATTGTATAAACAGCAGAAGAAACAGTAAAGAATACCCTGAAGAATGGGGATCTCTTATCAAAAGAAAGCTTATTAATAACTCATATACATAATGCACACACACACAGAGAGATCGGAGGCTGAGGCAGGAGTATACCCTGCAATATAATCACTAAATCACAAGAAAAAAGAAACTCCCCTCCCATCACCCTTCCTGAGATGAGAAATGTGAAAATTGAAAAACGTTTCTGCACTGAGAGAAGAGCAACCAAAAGGGCGCGAGTGCAGATTCCAAGAATCCCAAAACAAAAGAGCTACATCTCTTTCCTCTTCGGGAAGGAACTCCCTGAACCCCAAATACCCAAAAATCTGAGCAGCAGAAAGACGCCCAAAGCGCGATACTCAACACTTTGGACAAGTTCTTGACACCGCAGCAATGGCCGATGAAGAAGAAGAAGAACCCGTTGAAGAGAGGTTGTGGCATGCAGGCAGCATCCATCTCTTGAAAAGGGAAAATATTGTATTTTTTATTGGCCATTTCAATTATCTTAATGCACTTTAATATGCCATATGCGAGGGCACTCTTTTACGCTTTTACCGTTTCCACAAAGTGACTCTCCTCAATGCCCCTGTCCGTTCCACACTTCCTCACTCTCTTCCCCTTTATTCCATTCCTTCGAGTGTTGTGATTATCAGCTAATAAGGCATCAATAAATTTTGGTAAGCAGCAGCAGCAGCAGCGGTAGGAGCAGGGAGCAGCGAGCAGAAGCAGTCGGCTGTGGCTGTGCCCAACAACCACGGGGCCAAACAGACACATGGCCCCGAAAAAATGCCAGAGAGAGATCACTGCCTCGAGATGATGCCGCAGATTGAGGCACACAGATTGCAATTAATTTGCAATAACTTTTGATAAATGTTCCACTGGAGATTCTCGAGTGTGCAAATGTGTGTGTGTAAGTGTCTGTGTGCTGCCATGAGAGTGGTTTTAACGTCACAAGATAACGAGTTGACGCGATTAACTGCCACAGATATAGCAGAAAGTCGGTAGATACATACATACATATGTATGCACATGTATGTGTGATCATCACTGAGCCAAAGATACTAAGACATACCTCCATTTCTCCCAAGAGGCAGAGATCAGAGCTCTTCAACAGTCCCAACATAAACCCTTCTTAATCATCCCAGAGATACATACATATGTACATTGAATATCTCTTCAACCCATCCCACAGATAATAAACTCCTCTCTGGAGGGCCACAGATACCCCTCTCTCTCTCTTCTCCCACCCAACAGAAATGAAGAACTCCCGTTAACCCTCAAGCGAAATCCTCAGTGAAATCGAATGTATTCCCATTTCCAAGGGTATTCCCATCAACCTACCCAAAACCTCTTCCATTTATTGATTTCTCCTGAAAATATCCCCCATTGAGCAAATATCTTTTTATTACAAGCATTTTTCAATCAAATTTGATGTCCATCCCAGAGAACAGGAGAGCAGAAGAAGGGGGTAAGAAAGTGGGTAAACAGAGCCACGAATTGTAGAGGAAAAGAAGCCAAAGAGTGGCCCCAAAGAATGCCTCCCCAAACGATTGAATGTGTAAAAGTCTCGCATGCGACAAATTTGCCAATGCATTTCCCGCTGGCGATTCTTTGATGGAGAAGAAGGAATGCTTCATTGGGGTGAGGGAATGGGAGTTGGGAATGGTCGGTCGAATGTCGAATGTCTCCTGTCGGCAGGCAAGTATTTGAAATATTTTATCAATGAGCGAAAAGTTAATAAAAAATAATTAATTTAAGCGAATTTCTGCAGCAGAGAGTACGAGAGAGAGAGAGAGAGAGATCACAGGGCGGGGCAGTGACTGTGACTGTGGCAACATATGGGAGTCCATGCAATACGCTTCAAGCGCATTTAAATTGAATAAAACGTTGAAATGTTGCAGAGACGCGCCACCACAACACAACGTGCGGTTGGAGGGGAAATAGGCTGCTGCCCCGTTGACGACAACGTTGCACACCGGCAACGGTTGCACGTTGCAACTGCCTATTGCCGCTGCCGTTATGCGCTTAACATCTTGGCATCCAATCAATTAGTTTTTATGCGCTTCCATTGCCAACTGTTGCTGCTGCTGCTGCTGCTCCTGCTGCCTGCCTGCATGCTGCCTGGGCCAAGCCCCTCTCTTTCTCTTCTGCTGTTGGGACAGCGGCTGGTGGCAGGGGCTGGCTGAAAGCCAAGTCGTCAGTCGTCGTGTCAGCAACAAATTGGCGAAGGGACCAGGGACCATGCAACAACGATGACAACTTTCGTTGCAGCTGCAGACCGCTGGAAAACCCACACTGAGCACCACAAAAACTATATGGAACTGTATTTCTTATGAAGATACAATATCTTGAATGCAAAAAGTAGTGAAAGAAGGGAAGCATCAAGCACGCCTTGAGACTAGAAGTTACCCTCGCTTGGACAGTTCACAATCAAAATGGAAAATCCTTCCAAGTATTTTTGTCCCATTTAAGATTCTAGTTTCGGATCCCAGGCATAGAAAGGCGCAGTCTACGTCGGGTTTTGTCGGTGCAAAAAGAGATGATCCTTCCTCATATTATTCCGAATTATCTTTAAATAGCTTTGCAGCAGCTCCCAGTCTACAACTCAATGACTCCGATGAGCCACTTTCGTCGCCAAAATAGTTGCCCTTCAGTGGGATTTGCGAACCAAACAACGAACAATTGTCCCCAAAGTCCTCGTACTATTGTTTGATGGAGTATTTCAATCAGAAATCAGCTATTTGAAAAAGATAGACCTCATCAACAGCCATCTATTGATTATAATAAATATTTTAAGACTCAAAATCGAATCCTCCTTTCTTTCTGTTTCATGTATCTCCGTTCACACATCATACCCACAAATACCACGCATAATCAAGCAGGAGATATGGCTCTTAGGCATAATTGTTTCTATGGATAATTTCCAGGGGTTTACAGAGGTTCGGTTCCAGGGTAGGTTCTGAAGCCCCCGTTGTCTAGTGTTTAAATGTCAACCAGCAGTTTTCGTCGCTCTCTTCTCTCGAATGCCAAATATTAAATGCGAATGCGCCCCAATACTTTCTTCTTGCATCGGGAGGAGAGGCTGGGCAGGAACAGTCATCACAGTTTCCGAGTCTCAGCTTTGTCTCAACTTCAGCTTTGGGACCCGCGGGAGAAATGTTATTCAAATGGCTTTCAAATGCTAGAGAAGTTTGCGGTGGTTTTTTTTTTCCAGCGATTGACAAATCAATTTGGCGATGGCTTTTGGGGGGATTTTGCATTTGAAGTTTCGAGGCAGCAACACCTGCTGCTGCTGCTGGTGGCTGGCATTTCTTATTCTTATTTTTTGGCCACAAGACACCTTCTACCAAGCCAGAGGCAGGAGGCAGAAGGCAGAAGGCAAGGGGTGCGCCAAAGGAGGCAGGGGGCACGTCGATCAAAGCCATTCGAACACTTGGCAAATATATGCGCATTGCTAAGCAGCTGCTGGAGAAAGGGGAGCAGCATGGAGAGCTGTGGATGAGGCAGAAGATGCGGCTGCAGCTAAAGATGAGGATGTGGCTGTTTACAGGGGGTATGGCGGAGGTGATGCTGCAAGGTAAATCGACGACAAGCTGGCGGCGGCAGCAGCACTGTCTCTGCGTCTGCGTCTGCATAAATGCATGACGATGAGGATGAGGTGGATGCCTCCATTCTGGCCGCATCTGCATTTTGTTGGCGGCTTAACTGCTGCGCCGCTGCCAATGGGCTGGCTTTTGGCCAAGTCATTGCCGCTCTTGCCGCTTGTGTGTTTGTGTGTTGCTGCTGCCGCCGCCGCCGCCGCGCTTGTGTTCTGTTGTTGCACTGTGTGTGCCATTGTTGCTGTTGTCCAAACACAACTGAAGTGCTAAAAACATTCCAATGTCAGGTATTAGCAATTTAAGTTAACCCTCTCTCTCTGCCAGCATCTCTATCGCTCTTGCTCTGTCGCTCTTTATGCCACCAGTCGAATGTTCTGTTCTGTGGCATCGATGTGCATCTGTGGCATTGGCGGCTTCTCTCTCTCTTCTGACGAATCCAAACACACACACACACACACACAAAGTGCGATCCCATCCGCACCACCATAACAGAAAGAACATTTCCCATTTGATTGCAACAATGTGGATGCCCCTTGCCATGCCTTGCCTTGCATTGACTTGACTTGGCTGTCAATGTTGGCTCTTTCCACAAATTAGACACTTTGCTAATTTACACGATTCACTCGAACGATGCGACGACTCTGCTCTGCTCTGCTCTGCGCAGCGCTGCGCTTCAACTCATAAATCATATTCGTAAAGGCGGCAAAAGGTTCTCTTATCACTTGGTTGGGGCAATGCTTTTTAATACTTAGTCTCCTTTGATTGACAGCGAATGCATTTACATTTACATTCATTTGCTCGTATCTTTTGCTTCTAGGAATTATTCCTTACTCAAGCTAAAATAATGTTGGGGCCTAACTAATTTGGTTGACTTCAATGAAACCCACTATGTAGCACGTACTCTGAGTATTCTAACCAGAGGAAATTATTCCTTTTAATTAGTAGG